CTGTTACTACTAGCGTGGCACTTGTTACTAATAGCTTCTTGTTACTAGAAAGGAAGGCTCTAAAGGACCGACAGACATCGAGAAAGGTCGTTTTGTAGGGAATTCCTATAGAAACAGAATAATATTCAAGAGAGAGGTAACCAGAGAAAGAAACCTGTAGATACGGGTGAAGACAGATTGTTCTGTACCCCCAAACTTCCGGCTATCAAGAACTGAAGCTACTGGGTTGGAGGCCATCGCTACTAGTAGCAAGAAGCTACTAGTAGCTCCTTTCAATACTACTAGTAATTAGCTAGAAGCCACTAGCTACTAGAATCTAGAAGCAACGGCTATCAAGAACTGAAACCTGAAAAGTCTCTGCTCCGACCTCCCAATCAAACGAGCAAGGCGGCTCCAAAGCCTTCAGAATTGCACTTTATGGCCCTTCAATACTGTAAATAGGAATGCTTTGATGAAGGCAATACAAGCCTTGGTTTCGGACCTAACACTTTTCTTGACGAAAGGAAATCAGTTGCCACATGGCTTGGCAGCTAAATACTGAGAAAGAGTAGCATCCTTGCTCCTAGTAGCGATGCCAGGAGCCCCTAGTAGCGTCCTTGTTCCTAGTAGTAAGGCCCTTTGCTACTAGTAGCGTCCGATCGCATGTCTATTGGATGTTTGTCGCGGTTTGCAGGTGATGTCTCTTGCAGCTCAATTTCGTTTCTTTTCCCGAGTCCTGCGACGCCATGCTCCTGAGGCGAACGGGTCGGGTCACACTTGGAAACCACGAACGGCAATGGCCTCCAACCTAATGACCTAACAAACCAGAACTATTGTTAATAGTTCTGGGCATATGAATCAAATTGATCCAAGCAAAACCATCGACTAATGTGAAAGACATCGGCAAGCCAGGAGCGAGTCTGGGCCGCTGAGCAGCAGCTGCAAGCTGGCGACCATGTCGTAGTTCAGCACCTTGACTGGCAACAAGGATCCAACCTTCGCTACTAGGAGCAAGGACGCTACTAGGAGCAAAGGGCATCGCTACTAGTAACAAGAAACCACTAGGGGGTCGCCTTACTACTAGGAGCAAGAAGCTACTGGCAACAAGGATCCAACCTTCGCAAGCCCAATTTTGTATGCGCATGTGACAGACGACGCCTGTGTGCCGAACCCCCGGTTTCGCAGTTTGTGCATGTTGATTTTGGAGCTAGCGGAAGCTTGTAGGTTGGAGGCCATCGCTACTAGGAGCTAACGGAAGCTACTGAATCATCTCGCGTATTCAGTCATGAGTACCTTATTTGGACGCCGGGCCTCAGGCTCCCCACGGTTCAATTTGCGGAATTACTGTATTGTGAGGAGACGTGTTTGAGGATGTTCAACGGTTCTCTTGAAGCTATTTGTTTGCATATTTTACTGTTCGGATTGGTACATTCATACCCAAAATTGCCCACCACACCCACCGAAAGTCGAATGAACAACGTGTTTTCAGGTGGGAATGCTCTGAACAACATGGCGTTGTTTGCTCCACCTCCGGCAACAGGTTGGGGCTATACACAGTCGATAGATGTGACGAAAGGAACATACAAAAGTGTTCATGGTTTGTGTATGTCTACGTGGTTCCAGAAGGAGAAGATGCGAATGTTCTTTGGAACTACTAGGAACAAGAAGCTACTAGGGGCTCCTGGCATCGCTACTAGGAGCAAGGACGCTACTAGGGGCTCCTGGCCTTGCTACTAGGAACAAGAAGCTTTGGAATCTGTTGCATTCTTTGATTGAGTTCAGCATAGGCGTGGCCATGATGCGCCTTGGGTTGCGAGCTTGGCATCGAAGACAACTGAGCCATAGAAACAAGGACGCTACTAGTAGCTTCTTGTTACTAGTAGCGATGCCCTTTGCTCCTAGTAGCGATGCCCTTTGCTCCTAGTAGTGTTCTTGCTCCTAGTAGTACGGGAGCCCCTGGTAGCGTCCTTGCTCCTAGTAGCGATGCCCTTTGCTCCTAGTATGTTTTGTTTGTATGTCGAAGAGGAATCTTGTCCAGTCAGAGGCCTCTCGCTCTCACTGTCAATCATGCAGCCTTGATCAGAAGGTCATCTACTGGAGCGGTGATCGCCTGCAGAGTACACCTCTGCCAAAGTTTCTACATGTCACGCACCCAAAGTGTTTTCATATTGTCACTCAATCCGACCACTGACCCAACACCATACTACTAGGAACAAGAAGCTACTA